AGTATCAAATGAAGTCATTGAGAGCCACATGAAAACAGATGGGGATAGCAGTTGCCGCTAAAAACTGGGATTCAAATTATCAGCCATGTGTCCATGGATTTCACTACTGTTGCTTACAGTACTGGACAGGGTGTCATATGCTAAACTCCCCTTCATTGCTTGACTCGCCCACAGCATAATTCACAGCACTAAGATTCTCCTAGAAATTCACACTTAGGAACTTCTCCAGCAATGGTGTTTTTGGGGAAGGCAGACCTCCATTGCCCAGTTTCACTCAGATCTGTTGGCACGCTGCTCTCCGTAACACAATAGCTGAAGGCTAAAAAGGAAGAAACATGGACACGTTATTTTAGAACACCAGTGTCTGGGGAAAAGAGAGCTGAATAACAGCCCTAGAAGTCACCTTATGGTTGAACCACCAACATTGATATTGGCCTTATTTATACAGAGATCAGACACAATATGCCAAATTCATGCTCAGGTAAGAAGGCTGGAAGCCCTTCAAAGCTGCAGAGACAAGGTAAGTGACCAGCCATTAAGTATGTTACAAAATACTTTCTAAATATAATTCACTTTAGCAGGGATTTACGAGACCTCTCAAACTCCTAAAAATGTAATGCACGGAACTATTAGCACGGCATGTGGTAACTTAAGTTTACACTGCTCAAACGACTCAGGGGAGAAAAACTCTTTTGGGGTTGGAGAAGAAAACTACCAACATTCACGACCCTGAAAGGAGTCGGCATGGCAGGACTAAATAGCATTTGGGGGTGCGAGCAGCCCAGAGCTCAGAGCACCCTGGCTGGATCATCTCCTGCATTGCTTTCTGTAGTGGACAAGGTACAACCCTGGTAGGATGCTGTGACCTCCAGAACAGCTGGGACAAACTGAGTGAGGAAAAGCCATCACCTAGGTTCAGTTCCAGCAGCGTGGCAGGGTGACTTGCAGTTGCACCCCTGCTGCCCTTCAGAGACCGGGTTTCCTTCAGCATCCGCTTCCATACGAAGTAAAGAGAGGGGAAACCCAAATCAAATCAAATAAACATCCTGCCTGGCTGCAGGGACACAGGCATTGTCCTGTGCCAAGCAGCGCCGCGGGATGCTTTGCATTTGTGGAAGTAGTATCAGAAGATGCTAGCAGGCGGGGGTGCAGTTGTGTGGGAAGAAGTGCTGGCAGCTCCCTCTGGCCAGCAAAAACAGATTAAGAGCAGACTTTTTTTTTTTTTTTTTTTTAATTGGGATTCCTCTCTCTAGGCTGTGCCCTACACACATCGCAAGACAGGCAGGATTTCCCACAGAGGTGCTGGGAAGCCCAAAGAGCTCTGCTTTCCGTATCTTACCACATCCCCTCTTCTTACCGGGTTATTTGGCATCTGCACACTTGTGCACAGCCTTCTAGCAGAGGAGGTGACCGGCTACTTGGAGAGTACGCAGCTAGAACACAGTGGGGAAAAAAGAGCTAGGCAAGACACACCCTTTGTGCGAGACAGGCAGCCCCCAGCAGCACGAGCCTGAAACAGGACAGGCCACACAAAAAGCAAAAGCAAGCCAGCTCCATCCTTAAACCATCTCCATTTTAGATGGCTGTCTCAGCGAGATTGTCCAGCAGTTGCTGTCACATCTGTTTCTTTTGCATGTGACCAGGCAAGTCGGAACAAAGGCCCTGAGTAGGAGACCTGCAGTCATTTTACTTAGCACAGTTCAGTTAGGCCATCACATCAAATGAGCATGAAAATGACCTTTTAGAAGGCCTTTTGCTCCACCCTGTTCCAAGCAGTGGGCAGGTTAGTGCATTTAAATGCTTCCTTCCTTGTTTGCAATAATTCAAACTAACTCTCTTTAAAGTTCTGCCTCCTCTCTCCCCATACCCCTACCTTCACTGAGGTTATATAGGTGTAACTAGAGGCAGCACATAAAACTCTTCATACAGCATGTTGTCGCAGGTGATAGCCCTCAGCATCCACAGATTTAGCAATGCTTCTTGACTTACTGTTGCTCACTCACATTGCTTGGAGAACAGGAGACAGATTTCTTTCTGCAGAATTGCCAGACCTTTATAAAGTTATGCACTAATATTATTATGCAACATATGTTTTACAGTGATGTGTTTTGCTCACTCATTCCTGATCTTTCATTAGGCACTAGAGAAATTAAGCGCTTTGCTGCTCTGGAGTCTTCGTTTTGGCAAGAGAATCCCTACAAGCACATCAGCGAAGGTAGTGGTCTAGGGGAGGAAAACCAAAAAGAAGACAAGACACACTCCAGGACACCCACTCGTTGACTGCGAGGGGTTGTGCCGAGGGACAGTAGAGGTTTTAGAGAAGTGGCAAAGGAAAGAGACATTGAACCTGAGGCTGCAGGGAAGACATTATGCCAAAAGAGAATGAAGACTCTTAGATGCATCACTCTGAAATCCAGCACACCTTTTAATGCTGTCAGATTTAGAAACTAATTTTTAGCAAGAACATGGCAACAAAAGCCTAAAAGAAATTACATCATTTCAAGTAGTTAAATTTGAACTGCAAGACAGAGGAGCCTTGTTGGAGTAGGTGAAAGCACAGACAAATTCCACTTATTAACCAAGCTGATTGTTTGAGGGGAGTTGCAAGTGGTTGTGGGAGGCACTGATTTTAATAAATATCTGTACAGCACTCACAATGACAGGGCCCTGGCTCAGGGTAAGAACAGGCAGCCCAGTTCCTGAACAACTGGGAGAAAGGGCACAATTGAGTTCGCAAAGATCTCAGGTTTTATCAGCAGTGTACT